TCAGAACGAGCAGCAACAACATGCGGCAGCAACTCACGCAGTGTCTGTGCTGTCTTCTTACGCACCAACTCCGCCATAAAGACAGTCGGCATCTGTGCCTCTTCCTCAAGCCGCTGCATTTCTTTTTCTTTTTCTCTCTTCACTTTCTCCAGTCTCTTACTCTCTGCTGCTTGTTGTCTCTCAAACTCAGAAGCATAACGATGAGCGCTGCTTATCTGCACGCATATAGGGGCCCCTGAGGGGGCCCCGCTGGGGGCCCCCCCGCTGGGGGCCCCACTGGGGGCCCCGCTGGGGGGCCCTGAGGCTCCGCTTGAAGGGGCCGTATCAGAACCACCAATAGGGGCCTTCTGGCTAGCAGCAGCAGCAGTAGCAGCAGCAGCAGGTGGTCCTGCTGCTCCTGCTGCTTCCGGAGTTCCTGCTGCAGTTGGTGCTGCTGTTGCTGCTGCTGCTGGCCCGTTGCTGCCAGTGTCAGCAGCAGCTGCAGCAGCTGCAGCAGGAGTGGTTTTCGGTGCATTTGTTCCCCCTCCCTTTGTTGCTTTTGCCTTTGCGTTTGGTTTCTTCGGCCCCCCTGTTGCTGCTGCTGCTTGCTGCTGCTGCTGCTGCTGCTGCTGCTGCTGCTGCTGCTGCTGGGGTGTCTCCCCAGACAGAGACAGCCACGCCTCTCTGANTGCTGCTGCTGCTGCTGCTGCTGCTGCTGCTGGGGTGTCTCCCCAGACAGAGACAGCCACGCCTCTCTGAAGGGAGAAGGAAAAAGCTTCTCGTATGGCCGTGAGGGTTCGAGGTGAAACAAAGCCAACAAAGCACTGAAATTCTCGCTGTGGTTTTTATATAAAAACTCCTCGTTTGTTAAAAACCTAAAAAATAAATATAAATAAAAAAAAACAAATATAAACTGCACTCATGCAAATAAAAAAGAAAACAAAAATACACAAAATAAATTTATTTATTAACTCAGAATGTCGCTTCAATAAGCAATCAACATAATGCACTCATAGTCAGAGACAGCGCTGCTGCCTGCTGCTGCTCCTGCTGCTGCTGCTGCTGCTGCCGCTGCTGCTGTTGTAAGTAAGTGGTGCTGAGGGAATAAGACCGGTCCCGCTGCTGCTGCTACGAGGCAGCAGCAGCATCCGCGTCTGCTGCTGCTGCGCGCCTGCACTGCAGCAGCAGAGCTTGGCTCAGCAGCTGCAACAGCAGCAGCAGCAGCAGCAGCAGCAGCTGCTGCTGCTGCTGCTGAAGTAATTTGCTCTCACCGCATTGTCTTTGAACTATCCTTGGGGTTGCTGAGGATACACTCGGTCTTGAAGAAGCCCTTGGGGGCCCGGCGCTGCTCGTACTGCGGCTTAGGCATTTTATGCTGCGTATACACCCGAAAGTATAAACCCTAAAACCCGCTAAAAAAAAATTAAAAAACCCTAAACCCTAACGTCTATATCCTAAACCCTAAACCCTAAACCCTCACCTTCTGGCAGTGGTTGTGAAGCACCTCCTTGGGGAGCCGTTGAAACGGCTTCATCTCAATATAGCCGGGGGGCCGGTCCGGTGGTTTGGCCTGCAGTAAACCACCAAAAAGTTTTAAGGGTTTAGGGTTTAGGGTGGCACTGTAGAGAGAAGAGGGTTTAGGGTTTAAGCTCCTTTGCAACAACATAAACGCAACGCTGGGTTTATATATATATTCGAGTATAACGTTTTTATGATCCACTCGTAATGAATACATCTATGCATACATTCTTAGACTGTACGGATTGATTAGGGTTTAGGGTTTAGGGTTTAGGGTTTAGGGTTTACAGACCTCTGCAGGGGGAGGTGTTGCTGTTGCTGGCTTGCCCTTGTCTTTGGCTCCTTTGTCCTTAGCTGAGGGCTCCGCCGTAGAAGGGGCCCTGCATGCATCGCAATGAAACTTTATAAAACTTTTATTGAAGAAAGAAAGAAATACAAAAGCTTGAATGAATCGTTAACAACACCTAGGTAAGCAGGGGTAAGGAAAGAGAGAGAGAAGAGAACTCTTTACTTTGGTTTTTTCGGCGCCATCTTCTGTTGTTTCAGTATTTTAACTCTAAATACTTAATATAATATATATTTGGGTCTCAATAAACACAGAAGAAAGAAGAAGAAACATCAGGGTCTTCTGTTTAAGGTCTTCGACTGTCTATGGCTTGTCGTTGGCGGGCGCAGCAGATCCTGAGGTTTATCTGTGGTTCTTTCGGGTGTATGTACACCCGAAAAAAGTACAAAGAATCATAACAAATCGTAAGAGATATAAGTTAACATTCATTTGAAAAATAACGCTGCCTCAGGTTAACTAAGAAGCCCGCATGCAGCAGCGATAGCCTGAAGGGCCCACCAGAAACAGCGGTTGCTGTATTGTTTCTTCTTTGTGTGTTTAAGTAGCTCGAAACATATCTTCTATTTGTTTATAACAATGATAAAATACTCTGAATCCTTATCATTAGTTATAGACTCTTACTTCTCCTTATCTAGCATCCACCTGCCGCCGACCCTCTACATACACCCGAAGAAGAAACAGGCATTCAGTTACCACATGAAATCCTTAGTGTTGTTGCAGCAATCTAAATAAGTGAATATATTTGCTTGTACTGAATTATAAAATACAGAAAAACATAGTAAAGTCAGATATTCAAGTATAACAATAGCTCCTTAATACACTCTGTCGAGTATCGCAACGACTGCAACTGCAAC